CTCATTGGTCCAGTTGTGAGGATTTTTGTTTTCTTTATGTTGAGATGTAATCCATACTGCAGACTGTATTCTTCAACCTTCATCAGTAGGTGCCTTCTGTTACATTAAGCTACTGAAATTTGGAGTTTAAATACAGGAATCATTTCATCCTAGCACAGGTCATCTAGTGTTTTTGTTTGTTTAGTTCTTACTGAATGTAGGGACCACCAAATAATACCAAACATTTTTTCCATGTGTCTGGTAAATATGAAGTTCCTCTACTGACTGAATAGTTATGGGCCCTAAGTTAAACTTGCTTCTCATAAAAAGGAATGGAAAACAAAGTGACTTACCAGGTCTTCTGACTAAGTATCTGCTATATTGCTCAGGTATTAGTATTACTCCATTGCAGTGGAAACTAGAGGCCCATGATTACAAGTTACTGTCACTCTCATGCACAGGAATGGTAACAGGAATGATTGTAGTTTCATAAACAGAAGCAGATCAGATTTGATAACCAAGATGCTTAAAGATTATCTTCTGCATTTGATATGTAGCTCGTGTTCTGGAAGATACTTAGATATTTTTGATTAAGGTCAGTAGATGGCCTTCATTTGCCATGAAAAGGGAATATCTTTACAAGGCACCATCAGAGATTCCCGAGTTAAAAAATTTTCCAAGGAGGTTTCTATAAAGCACATATATTAGCATCTTATGAAACCCTGCTTAGGGAATGTCTAGGGATCTTCTTGGACCCTTTTTCTTAGGCCTCATCTTGATCATTAAGGGGTTTTCTATCAAATGGTGGGGAGAAAGAGCATTTGCCCTACTATGTCCTTAAGTAACTGTATTCAATTAAACTCTGTGTCTTAGCAATGAAGTCTAGTTATACCTGCCCTTAAATAACAAACATACTTGTTTCTCCTACAGAACTGGATTCTGTCTGTGTCTGTGTGTGTGGTGATGGTGTTGGTGGCACAAACAGAGTGTATAAAGGCCAGGAGGCTTGAGACCCAGGCAACGCACAACCTTAGAACACTATTAATAGGATGTGAAGTGATCATATTGGTATTTTAGAAAGTTTGCTTCGATTGCAGGCTGAAGAATAAGTTGGAAAAGATGAGACATTGGAAGAGATAAGACTGTGCCTTGGGATGCCATTAAGAGTCTATGTACTAGTCCAGATCATGGGATATGTTCAATATTTATGGAAATAGACATGGAGAATCACATTAGAAATATTTATAAATAAAATCTCCAAGACATGGCTTAAGGGTTGATGTGAAAAAAAAAAAAAAAAAAAAAAAAGATGAAATCAGAAGAGTAAAGTCAAAGAGATCTTGGGTGACTATGTGGAGGTGAAATTCCATTCACTCTCTAGGGAACTAGACTTTATGAGTACCTACTGTGTGCTGGACACTGCATTAAGAGCTTTACATAAATAACCTCAATTGATCCTTAAAGCAAAATTTTAACAAAAAGATTATTTTTAAGCTAAATTTACAGATGTGTTGACATAGTGAAAAGATTGAGCGGAGTCTCAGTCCATTCCGACATGCTCCCTCACAATTTGGCTTTAGACATACTGGATTTGAGGTGCTTGTGGGACATTTCAGTAGAGGTATCTGGGACTCACTACCAATAATGCCCATGTTATAAACTATATCCTTATGTAGCAAACACATTGTGCTTGTTATGAACTTTATAAATAGCAGTTCACTTAATCGCATAGCAATACTATGAAGTATATATTATTATTATCCCCATTTTCTGTGCATTCTTAACCATCGTAATCTTAATGGAATGGAATGATGAACCATCCACTAAACTAGGAATGTTATGCAAGTTAACTTAATTCAGTCATATAAGAAAACTCTTATAACGTCTCTTCTAAAGACTAGAAAACTAAGGCTTGGTAGTTTGTATAATCTGACTACTGTCATGTGGTTTTCTTTGTACTTATTTCTGAGTGCGAGCTTCTGTTACCATTATTATCCTCAGAGATTGAGGCTGAGTAGTTTAAGTGACTGAATCAGTGACACACGGCCATAAAGTGACTGAGTCTGGATTTCATCTTTAGTACATTTGATTCTGAATCCCAAGTATTTTGAAATATTCCTGTCCTTTGCAAACAATATTCCACTGGGGTTTTACATTCAAAATCATTTTCAGAAATGCAAACTTCTGCACGTTCCATAGGACAGTAAGCTTCTATACTAGAACCAAGTTTGTAAACCTGTCCTAGATAGTTATGCAAACTGTTTGACCCCAGTCCCTAAGTTTACCATTCCGGGGGTCAGGTGACTTTCTGGGATAAAAGCCAGCTTCCTGTTGTTGTTACTAGAGCCACTGCTCTGCATACTTTTTCTTCTTCTCCTTCTGACTTCCCCTCTGTGACAGGGGAGACAAATATCTGAGAAACAGAAGTCCAGAATGCTAACGCTGCCACTCTCACTTCCTCTAGCCTCTTGCCAGGCTCTGCTTTGAATACACTAGTTGCTGTGGGGCACTGAGTTGGGGAAAGAAGCCACTGGTGCCTCAGTGCTGCCTGATCAGGCCATTATAGTGTGTCATGCTTTCAAAGGGTCAGTGCTACTCACAGAAAATGCCAGGATGATGCCTCTCTCACGCCTGGCTGGGATTCTGATACCAGCCATGGCCTTCCTCTCCTACCTGAGACCTGAGACCTGGAAGCCCTGCACAGAGGTGAGTGGCGGCTGGGGTTAACTCTTCGCCTGTGAGCTTTGCTTTGCTTCCAAAAATCTACTCTCTGCCCAGTACTTCCCACTGTGTGCCCTGGTTAATTTATTTTATGAAAAGGAGTCAAATTAAAGACCTGAGAAACCGCAGGGACCAAGTAATTGTTATGGAAAACTAATGGGCAGTGGATGGGGCTGTGTCCCACTTAGGACTTTGAGTGATAGTAGCACGTTTAGGTCGGCGAAATCTGGTTAAGATCATTGTACTATGACTTGCTGACTGTGTGACCTGAGCATGTTATTAAACCTGAGACTAGTTTTCATATCTATAAAGTAGTTATGATATTAGCTCCTTCAATAGAGAGTTGGAAGAGGGCTGCTACAGTGTCATTGCTTCTGCTGGGGGTTTGTGGGTTCAGCTTTCAGCTGTTACACTGACTCTCTCAATCCCCGGAAAAAGGTATCTTTTTTTTTGTCTAACAATAGAACTTTCAAAGTGAATTTCAGACTTTTGAAACCATTTGTATAATTCCATCCAAAGAATGGAGAAATTACAGAGAATGGAAAAGAGAGAGAAAGAAAAGAGAGAGATAGAGAAGTAGCAAGAAAAGACAGAGAGAGAGAGAAGAAACGCAACGATGCAAAATGTCAGCTAATGCAATGATGATTTTCTTTGTGAAGCACCCATCAACTGGGTACAGTCTTAGCATGGATTCAGTATGCATCTCTCTTGTTTTTCCCTAATGTGGATGTGGCACTTGTTTTGGAAGGCCATAGCAGAACTGAACAGCCAGGAGACTGTTCTGGAATTTAAGGCGGGGCAGGGTCAGAAAGTTAAGAGAAACAGCCAGCCAAAGTCCTGAAGTTGAGGATGTGGAGGAAAACAGTGTACTTTAATATGTAACAAAGACTAAATCATCATCTCAAACTCTCCCTTTTCCCCCATTCTCTGTCCACAACCCTATTCCTCACAACCCTTCCTGTACGCCTCTTCCTATTAGGTTAATGGAGGCAGATTTCCTAGTCAGAGTCATCCCAGGGTAAACCCACAGCCACACAAGGCTCCTCTCTTTCCCTCTGATCCACTGTCAGCCTCCAAAGCTCTCCCCTACAATGCCCATCCTCTCCTGCCCTCCAAGGTGCAGGCTGTCATTCAGTCTTGCATCTTGGATAGTGACTGGCTTCCTGATACCATTGTCCTCTTCCTTTAATCTATCCTGCACTTTTTTGTTTGTTGTTTATTATTTTTCCTAAGGCTTGGATCTAACCAATTATTCTCCTCGTTAATAACTTGCGTTAACTCTCCATTGCCCTGAGAAGTTTCCTACCATAGGGCTTTAGCAATGGTTATTCCTTTTATTTGGAATGCTTTTCCCCTCCATGTGTCTACTCACAAAGATACATAATTTTAAATATTTTATGGTCACATTAAAAGAAGTAAAAAGAAACAGGTGATATTAATTTTAACATTTTTACTTATTTCAATTGTTAAAAATATTTCAACAGTTTATGCACATTACAAATTATTAATGAGATATTTTCCTATCTTTTGTAGGTACTAAATCTTTAAAACCTGTTGATTACAGGTTGTTTAAAATGTATCATCTACATTTGCAGGACAAGTCAGTTTAAACAACCCACAGTTCTGGAACTCAATAGCCATATATGACTAGTGCCTACTGCGAAGGATGAAGTAAACCTAGTTCTTCTCATGGCTTAATTCATCCCTCACATCATTCAGATAACTGCTTAAATGCTAGCTTGTCAGGAAAGTCATTCCTGATTGTCCCATGTAATAATAGAACATTCCAGGCTCCTCTATCTGTCTTCAATCCCCTTATGCTGGTTTGTTTTTTCCATAGCACATAATTATTTCTATTTTTCATTGCTTGTGTTCCCCTTTTGAATGGAATATGTAAGAGGGCAGGGTCACTGCTGATTTTATGTAGCACCATATTCCTAGTGCCTGGTACACAGTGGTGGCTCAGTTATAGGTGAGGTGATGATTTGGCTCTGACTACCTGCCTGGCTTAGGCTCCACCATTCATGTTACTTGCCAGCAAATTTGAGTTAGTTTTCCATCCCCTCCTTGCTCACACTCCATTCTTTTTATGAGATATCCTTCTTTCTTCCTTGTATCCAGATCTTACTTCATCTGAGACTCACCTTAAAATCACCTCCCTGTAGGAAGCTCTCTAAGGAAGCTCTCACTGCACCCAGAACCAGAGATTCTCTGGGACATATTTCCCCAGTCTTTTTGATGGCCTTTGTAGACAGTGCTAGTTGTATTGCCACCTTAACTATTACCTAAGACTGTGAGCTCATTGAAATCTGAGGTTGATAGAAAATTGAAAAAAAAAAAAAAAAAAAAAGCAATAAAAAAATTCTTGCCCCAGATTCCAAGGAAGAGCTAAGATGAAAGCCAGAGCTTCCACACACAAAAGTCTCAGCGTTTCATCACTTGAGTCCATTTCTTTTGTTAAGTGTTGCCATGGTTATGGTAGGAATTAGAACACTGGGAGGATAGTAGGTGCTCTTTTCCTCCTAATCTACACTAGGGCATTTAATAGGTATGAAGTTAGTGGGTATGTAACTGAATAAATGAATGGGGCATGAATAGAAGTTTGACTAACTTCTGTGCTTGTAGTAGAGGCCCCTATGCAGTTCTAGGAGGAGAGGAGTTGGGACAGTGGTCTGTTGAAATATATGCAGTAAGACACTATACCTAACATGTGATCTTTGCAGGTGGTGCCTAACATTTCTTACCAATGCATGGAGGTCAAGCTCTACAAAATACCTGACAATATTCCCTCATCAACCAAGAACCTGGACCTGAGCTTTAACCCACTGAGGCACTTAGGCAGCCATAGCTTCTCCAACTTCCCAGAACTGCGTGTGCTGGATTTATCCAGGTAATGAATGAACTTGAACACACTGCCCAAGGTGAGATGTTCATTATCTTATCAGCTCATTCTTGGGCCAGGAAGCCTGGTTGGTTTAGTCTCATCTTCATTCCTTTATTCAACAGATTTGTTACTTCCAATATAATCTTGGGCAAGCCACCTCCCTTCTCCAGTTCTCAATTTCTTCATCTATGAAATGAGATGGTTTCTAAGGACAATTCAACCTTTCATTTATTTTTAAAGTCAGGATAGAAAATTGACTTCAACTTTTATCAACAGATATTTATTGACCACTAGCTATATATTACATACTCCGTTATTAAGGAGGTCATATACCAGCCACTTATTGGAAGGAAGATCAGGCAATCTAATTCCTTAATGATATCGCCTTGGAAACCCAAGCAGGGCTCACTATGAGTTGATCCAACTCTGTGGGAATGAGTTTTTTTTTTTTTTTTAATCCACTTGAAGAATCCTTATAGTTATTTGTTCAATATCTTTTCAAATCCTATCATTCTATATTATCCTATAACTCTATATCCCATCTGTATAATTTTCTAGGGCTGCCAAAACAAAATGTCAAAAACTGGGAGACTCACAAAAACAGAATTTTGTTTTCCTACAGTTCTGGAGACTGTAAGATCAAATCAACATGTAAGCTAGTCCCTTCTCCTTCTGAAGTCTTCAGTGAAGATCCTTTCATGTCTCTCCCAGCTTCTGGCAGCGTCAAGCATTCCTTGGTTTGTAGATGCGTCTTCAAATGGCTATCTTTCCTCTGTCTCTGTGTCTCTTCTTTTATTTTAATAAGGACATCACTCAGATTAGATTAGGATCTACCCTTCTCCACTATTACTTCATGTGAACTGATAACATCTTCCAAGACTCTGTTTTCCAGTAACATTGCATTCACTAGTACAAGGGGTTAGGACTTCAACATACTTTTTTTTGGGACACAATTCAGTCCATAGCACTCCATATATCATGGTTGCCACCTACTTTAGGGCTTTTGTATCATTGTTCATTTTGCCTGCTTTTCTTGTTAACTCTATTCATCTTGCATATTTCAATTTAAGTGTTTTCAGAGAACCCTGATTTGATCTCCCTACTCTGGGTCAGTTTCCTTGATATAAACTTTCCTAGCACACTTTCAATTTTTCCACCACCAAACTCATTCATCTCACATATTAACACCTATATCAAGCAATATTCATTTCACTAAAGATATCCATGGTACCTGTAATTTTTAATAATTTTGAAATTGATCTTTAGTCATTTATCAAGTCTAACAATAACTGTCTCTATCATTTGTACAAATCAGATGTACGATCACAATTATTTATGGCAGGAAATGGCTAAATTGAATCCAAGGATATTACATACTCCACCAACCATACAGTCATCATGTACCCTAATCATTACTGTTTAACTACTTTTCTTCTGATGATTTTGCTGTCTCTGCTAAGCATGTTTGCCAAGCATATAAAAAGAGTGCATCAGTCTGGCCAGTATGACATCACTTGTCCTGCTTGATGTCTTTACATGGTGTGTCACATCCCATGAAGAGCTCGATGACTGGTACTGCTGTTCTAATTTGAGTTTTTATTTAGCAAAAGTATTATATAATGTTTCTCTCTTCTATATAGGTGTGAAATTCAGATAATTGAAGATGATGCATATCAGGGACTAAACCATCTCTCCACCTTGATATTGACGGGAAATCCTATCCAGCACTTAGCTCCAGGAAGCTTTTCTGGATTATCAAGTTTACAAAAGCTGGTGGCTGTTGAGATAAATCTACCCTCTCTAGAGAACTTCCCCATTGGGCATCTTAAAACCTTGAAGGAGCTTAATGTAGCTCATAATTCTATCAATTCCTCCAAATTTCCTGAATATTTTTCTAACTTGTCTAACCTGGAATACTTGGACCTTTCCAATAACCAGATCCAAAATATTTATCGTAAGGACTTGCAGGTTCTACATAAAATTCCCCTGCTCAATCTCTCTCTAGACCTGTCTTTGAACCTGATAAAATTTATACAACCAGATGCCTTCAAGGAACTTAGGCTCCATAAACTGACTTTGAGAAGTAATTTTGATAGTATAAATATAATGAAAACCTGTATTGAAGGTCTGGCTGGTTTAAAAGTTCATAAGTTGGTACTGGGAGAATTTAAAAATGAAAGGAATTTGGACACATTTAACAAATATGCCCTAGAGGGTCTGTGCAATTTGACCGTTGAAGAATTTCAGATAGCATACTTCGATGAATTCTCATTGGATGATATTGGCACATTTAATTGTTTGGCAAATCTTTCTGCAATTTCCCTGGTGAGTTTATATGTAGTCAATTTAGAAAAACTTCCTAAAGATTTCAGATGGCAATCCTTAGAACTGATTAACTGTAAATTTGAACAATTTCCATCTTTGTCATTCTACTCTCTGAAAACATTTGTTTTCACTGCCAATCACTATAGTAACACTTTTGTAGAATTTGAACTACCAAGCCTGGAGTTTCTAGATCTCAGTAGAAATGGCTTGAGTTACAGAAGTTGCTGCTCTCAGGCTGATTTTGGGACAACGAGATTGAAGTATTTAGACCTGAGCTTCAATGATATTATTATCATGAGTTCAAACTTTCTGGGCTTGGAACAACTGGAATATCTGGATTTCCACCATTCCAACTTGAAACAGGCCAGTGACTTTTCAGTATTCCTGTCACTCACAAAACTCCTTTATCTTGACATCTCTTATACCAATACCCGGGTCACCTTCCATGGCATTTTTCATGGCTTGGAGAGCCTAAAAATTTTAAAAATGGCTGGCAATTATTTTCAGGACAACTTCCTTCCAGATATCTTCACAGAGTTGACCAACTTGACCTTCTTGGACCTCTCTACTTGCCACCTGGAACAGGTGTCCCAGCGAGCTTTTGACTCACTGCCCAGAATTCAGGTGATAAACATGAGTTATAACAAACTCCTGTCATTGGATATACTTCCCTATCAACATCTCCACTCTCTCCAAGTTCTGGACTGTAGTTTCAATCGTATAAAAGCCTCCAATATTCAAGAACCACAGCGTCTTCCAAGTAATCAAACTCTCTTAAATCTTACTCAGAATGACTTTGCTTGTGTTTGTGAGCACCAGAGTTTCCTGCAGTGGGTCAAAACCCGGAAACGGCTCTTTGTGGAAGTTGAACAAATGGTGTGTGCAACACCTTCAGATATGCAGGGCTTGTCCGTGCTGAGTTTTAGGAATAGCACCTGTCAGATGAGCAAGACAGTCATCAGTGTGTCAGCTGTCTTTGTTTTCATAGTATTTCTGATACTAGTTCTGGTCTATAAGTTCTATTTCCATCTGATGCTTCTTGCTGGTTGCAAAAGGTATGGTGGCGGTGAATGCACCTATGATGCCTTTGTTATCTACTCTAGTCAGGATGAGGATTGGGTGAGGAATGAGCTGGTAAAGAACTTGGAAGAGGGAGTGCCCCCCTTTCATCTCTGCCTTCACTATAGAGACTTTATCCCCGGCGTGGCCATCTCTGCCAACATCATCCAGGAAGGTTTCCACAAAAGCCGGAAGGTAATCGTTGTGGTGTCCCAGCACTTCATCCAGAGCCGCTGGTGTATCTTTGAGTATGAGATTGCCCAGACCTGGCAGTTTCTGAGCAGTTGCTCTGGAATCATCTTCATCATCCTGCAGAAGGTAGAGAAGTCCCTGCTGCGGCAGCAGGTGGAGCTGTACCGCCTTCTCAACAGGAACACCTACCTCGAGTGGGAGAACAATGTCCTGGGGCAGCACATCTTCTGGAGACGACTCAGAAAAGCCCTGCTAGCTGGCAAACCATGGAGTCCAGAAGCAGCAGCAGATACAGAGAATAAGGAGCCTGAAGCAACAGCTTCCATCTGAGGTGAAGAAACTCCTGGGATGCTTTTCTACCCTGTAGGGCCCATCACGTGTTCAGCAAATAACCCCAAAACCAAACCCACTGCCATCAAGTCAGTTCTGACTCCAAATGACAGACACTACAAGACAGAGCAGAACTGTCCCATCGGATTGTCAAGGCTGTAAATCTTCACAGAAGCAGAATGCCAAATCTTTCTCCAATGGAGAATCTGATGGGTTTGTATCACTGACCTTTGGGTTAGTGGCTGAACCACCAGGGCTCCTTGTTCAGCGAACAAGTACCTTAGAAATGCTACAATATACAAGGCACTGTGCTAAGGGCAGGTGATTCACTTGTACACAATATACACAGAGCTGCTAATCTCACGGTGTTTTCAGTGCAGAGGGAATAAATACCATTCTAAAATATACAACCTTCTAAATTGGTATTTTAATCAACTCATGACAGGGAAACTCAACTCTTATGCCACCAGATCACACTAGAACTAACAGTGGGCCCCAGTGAGGGCAGAAAGGAACACTGTTCTTTTCCTGAGTCTTTTGAATAGAAACTACCTCATGTATCATGTTTTGTTGTTGTTAGCTGCCAGCTGAGTCTGCCTCTGACTCATGGTGACTCCACGTGCTACAGTCAAGAGCTGCTCCACAGGTTTTCTTGGTTGTAATCTTTAAGGAAGCAGTTTGCCAGGCTTTTCTTCCACAGAGCAGCCGGGCAAGTTCAAACCACTAACCTTTAGCTTAGTAGCCAATTGTAAACCACTTATACCACACAAAGAAGCACTGGTGACATGGTGGATAAGATATTTTACTGCTAATCAGAAGGGCAGCAGTTGAAACCTACCAAATGCTCCATGGGAGGAAGATGAGGCAATCTACTTCTGTAAAGATTAACTACCTTGGAAACCTAATGGGGGTCGCTTTGAGTTGGAACCAACTCAACGGCAGTGGGTTTATACCACACAGGCTCCTAATATGTTCAAACCACCCTGAAACAAAATAGTTTTGGTAGTTTCAATGAAACTGGGTGTTTTCTCACTTTTCCCTTTTCCACTGAATACAATTTAAATTGTACTTGATGATTGCAAAGGCACCTGATTCGGACTCTCCTGCCACTCCAAGTCAGTCTTCTCCCAAAAGTACAATTCTTGTAACTAATTCCTGAAGAATTACACACACTCACAAACTTACAAACATTCTGGCTTTTCCTTATCCTGTTTTATTTATTAATTTAAAGTCTTTGCTATATATTCAGTCTTTATAGATCCAGTTCTGATTTTTTATATTCTCTGTGTACTCCCACATCATAAATAAGGTTATTGGAGACATGCTGAATGTTTTGGTTCCCTAGTGCTACTCTGGGAGCTCTGGTAGCATAGTGCCTAAGGCACTTGACTGCTAACCAGAAGGTTGGTGGTTCAAACCCACCTGCCACTCCTCGGAAGGAAGATGGGGCAATCTACTTCCATAGTGATACTGCCTCGTAAACCCAAGGAGGGGTCGCTATGAGTCGGGTCCGACTCGATGGCATATAACAACAACAACAGCAAGTGCTACTGTGACAGGAATATACCACAAATGGGATGGCTTTAACAAACAGGAGTTTATTCTTACAATTTGGAGGCTTTCAGTCCAAGTTCAAAGTGCCAGACTCTAGGAGCTGGGTGAAAGCCCCTCAACCTTGGGCTTCAGCTCTGCCTCCTACTCCCAGCCCACTGAAGCTAGAGGCTTTTCTTCACTCAGACCCCTTCTGGCTGCTGAGACTGACAAACCCAAGTTTGACAAGTAAAAAGGCAGTCACAACATTACCAAACCACATGGCAGGCCATTAATTCCAGTCCATTGTAAGTCCCAAGATTGGTAGAGCATGGTAGGCTGCTGAACAACAACATGGTTACATGTAGGGTTCAAGTGTGCCATAAGCTAGAGACCAGTCCGCAAGTCTTCCCCTTATAAGCAGGAAGCAGACCATATCCCTAAGGCAGCTACTCAGCTGCTCACATTAGAGTTCACAATGGAGTTAATTACCAGTCTCATCATGGGGAATACTACATCCAGCTGCCCGGCCACTCAACCAGGGCCAGCCGAGTTGACATACAAACTTAACTACCACACTCGAAATATCCGTATTTACTACTATTTTTTAAGCAAATATGTAAAATACAAAATACACTGTCACTTTATGTCATTCAAAATTATTAACTACTAAGTTATGACTTTCAGCATTAAAATAAATTGGTTGAAAGTGACACTTGTTTAATAACAGGACAAGAGTCCAACTTCACAGACTTGTGATGGTTATCAGTTCTGGTCAGAGGCAAGGGGAAGGATGGGATAACGTTAGGACATCGCCTCTTCTTGATGACCTCAGAATCATGTGGGCTACTACTTCCGTAGTGATACTGCCGCGGAAACCCAAGGAGGGGTCGCTATGAGTCGGGGCCGACTCGATGGCAAACAACAAGAACAACAATGCAACTGGGATGATAAAATGTGTTGTAACAATGGTTTCTTCTTGAGGTGAATGCTGTTTAATGGAAAGTTGAATCCCTTCTGGACAAGGCTTCAAACTGGTTCATTCTGGTTTGACCCCCTGCTGAGCATTTACATTTCCACCCCAGATAGGAGCTCTGGTACTTGACTGCTAACCAGAAGGCTGGTGGTTGAAACCCACCAGCCACTCCTTGGAAGGAAGGTTGGACAATCTATTTATGTAGAGATAACGCCTCAGAAACCCAAGGAGGGGTCACTGTGAGTCAGTTTTGACTTGACAGCACGTAACAACAACAACCACCACCCAAGATATACGAATCAGAATCTTCATTTTAACAAGATTCCACCAGTGATTCTTATGTATACATAGGAATCTAACCGCTTGGGATCTATAAAAATCATCTGGGAATCTTGTTAAAATGTAGACTCTGATTCAGTATATCTGGGGTGGAAATGCAAATTCTCAGCCGGGGGTTGACCTGGAATGAGCTGATTCAAAGCCCTGTTTTTGAGTGACATAAAGGGCTAGGGTCCCCTCCACCTTCCACTCTAGGAGAACCGCTTGTGAAATGATTCAACCTGGGGACCTCTCATTGCTGCTTCCTGTGGGGGTATCACTCCCTGACTACATTTAGGAGCCTGTGGAAGTTATCATGAGAAAACAACGACCCAGGGGCTCATGAGGATCACAGTAAGGGGAGTTCTCAGAAAATCACATTTACTCAACTTCCCCATGACTGGAGCATTCAAAGAAAGGTCAGTGAAGACATGTGGAAAATCCCGTTGTCAGAACATGGAGATAAGGCCACAGTCTGGAGTGTATTTGTAGCAGTGTGTCACAGTATATTTTGGTCTGAGCATGGCCGGCATTGCTGAACATGCCTGCATGTGTTTATGCATGTTGGGTGTTAGTCAAAGTGGGCCAGGCATTTGGGCACATGCTTCTGTGTTTGTGTGTAGGTGAGAGTGATTGTATCTGCGTGAACATATCTGCATGAGAAGGAATGTGATTACCGTGCATGGGGAATCCGTGCATTCAATGTAGATGTTTACAACTGTTTGATATAGCTTCTTTTTGCACATGATTGCTTATATACAAATGTTTGAGTTAGTTTCTGATTTGCTTGAGGGTGTGTGTTTGTGTAAGTCCACGCTATATGTGAGAGTGCTTATGTTCATATTTGAGTATGCATTCTGCATATGAATGTTAGCTCAAGCAAATACACAAGGCTGCAGGGATGAAAATCAAAATAAAACTGGAGTGTTCCCTTTATACCAGGCTGACTCTGACTGCTTCCCATCAGTTGCCTCCCCAGATGGGGAATTCTGAAAATTGCAGGTTGGGGGGACAAGAAGGCAAAGAAATGATATGGACAGAAACAGAAGGAGAAGAAAGAGGAAAGTCAGGGCTAGAATGGGCTCCTTGGAGCCACTTAAACACTCTGGATAAGAAATGACATGTAGAGTGGAAAAAAAAGGAATCTTAATGATAATGTTGTAAAGGAATGTCAGGTCCATAACTTGTAACACAATTGCACTATTGTAATCACATTTAAATCTCTCATTAGCCAAGTGAGGTAGGTGGATGGAGAAACATTATCCCCATTTTCCTGCTGTGAAACCTGAGGTTCAAGTACATTTATTGCCAATAGGCTACTGAGTGAGTGAGTGAGTGGTAGGGCTGAGCATGAGCCTCTGGCCCACTCGGTGCAGCCTACTTTTCCACTACACCCTGGGGCTTCATACTGAAGGTTGACAAAAGGAGAAGTGAAACCCCTGTAGCTCCACCTGTAGCACTCTGAGAAACCACCTGTGTGGTTGACACCAGTGGAGGCCTTTCCACTAAAGCCATGACTCATTAGGCAACTACATATCCATACACAGGACCTATATAAGCCAAAAATTTATTATATAACTCTTTGCACACAGGACTTGAGAAAGCATCAAATAAAATGTATATGGGCAATAACCAGTTGTCATGGTGACCCCACATGTGTCTGAGTAGAACTGTGCTCCACAGGGTTTCTAGTAGCTGATTTTTCAGAAGTAGATAACCATGCCTTTCTTCTGAGGTGCTGTGGGTGGAGTCAACCCTCCAACCTTTCAGTTCGTAGCTGATTGCGTTAACCATTCGCACCACCCAGGGACTCCACATGGACAGTGGAGCTAATCCATTAGAAGTAGAAAAGCAGGCAAAATACAAAGAGAGAACAAAAAGTACAAAGTGTTAGCTTCAGTATAGTTTTTCTAATGCTTTGGATTATTTGGCTTCTGGAGAAATCCCAGACTCAGATTCACCACTTACCAGCTAGCTCTGTGCCTTGGGCTTCACTTCTCTGAGGGTCTAGTTAAAGGAAAAACAAGGGTAAGAATATTCCTTTGTATAAGGTTGATGGACGGATTGAAAATCACGTAGGTTTAACACAAGGGACACAGTTCTCGTGTGTGTTGCTATGACTGTGTTGCTGTGATGGACTTTATGAAGGGAGCACGGGGAAAGCCTTGGTTGTCTT